TTTTAGAATGTAAACATCGAGAACCTGGTGGGTCTGAACCAGACGATCGATGCGACACGGCTAACTTTTGACGAAGTTCGCGAGTCTCGAGCAACGAGCTGCGCCATTTGCGGCTCATAAAGACACGGTAAAGTTCGGCATCCATCAAGGAAAATCAAGGTGGTTTGGCGAATTCACATGTAGGAGAATATGGTCCAACCGGCGATTAAACTATCTGTTGCGCAAAAACTTAGCAGGCGCTCATCGAAACTAGTATCTGAACACAGAACAACGACTATAAGTCAAACAAGTCGAAAACCGAGACCATCTGGTACAGAAAACATCAGTAAATTAAGAAATAACACGTCAACACTATAACTGACATCATTTTAAAGAGAATGCATTTACTGCTGCTGTTGCCATCTAACGTTAATAAAAACCTACCTCATTGCAATCTGAATGAACCTTTGGTCGAAAATGTTACCTATAGTGTAATTTAAATGTTAACCTTAGAATTCTAATTTAGTCATTCCAGACTTAAAAATTTCGTTAGAACGGCATGCAAACTTGACAATGACAGAATGCACATTCATTTTATTTAACACTTCAACCTGTTTCTTACTTGTTCCCTCAGAAGCAGCAATTACAGTTCAGTACACGTTTATTATTTCAGCGTATGCTACAGTCAGTCGCTCTCCTTCAACCAGATAGATCAGTCGTGTAGGAGTAAATACTTAGCTTCAAAACCACTTTGTGCCGCAACCATGGCAGTGTTTTAAACATTATTAATATCAGTCGTACATAAGGCAAAAAAAGCAACAACGAAACCTACCTACGCGACCCCATGCCATTCTATGATAATCTGTGAAAATGCTGTGACTGAGGCTCGATGACGCTTAATCATGAATATGATCATAACTTCGCAATAAAAGGACAAAAACGAGAATTTTACGCGATTAAGTGATCATAAATAAGTATGACTGCAGATAATTTTTTATATTGTATCACGCTCACTGACCAATTTACTTGCAGGAATGTACACTCTAAATGATTTTAACCAATGGTTAGCCTTTGTCGACTCATCCCCTTTCGTTTGACGTTGTAAGACTCAACACTTCACTTCAAGTGACCAAATTTTCATTCTTCCAAAGATTTAAGTATCAACGATATAACGCTCCATCGCGTCTGCTTTTTCGCCATATGGCGGCAAATCTATGAAACACATCTGCATAAGCCATTCCCTTTCTTAACGCCCAGAAATCCAAGGTTATGAAGAGCGCATCCGGCTAAACAGGCCAGCAAGCGCAGCTAAAACACTAAACGGTAAGGTCAATAGTTTCAATATGACCGTTTCGTGACTGCCAAATTCAGCACGAGCCAATGAGAGCTAGACAGAAGGGCTGGGTTGCCCTTGCTTCCAGTAATTTAGCAACGTAACCCACAAAACATCTGGAACGACAGGAATATTCTGCCCTCGCATTTTTCAAGACCTAAAGGAGAGCAATGATTGAATCTTCTGTGACGCATCTGAGATAAAAAATATACTGTTCATCTTGGACTTGAACTTGTCCCTTCAGTCGGAACACCTCTTTTCCAAATACTTGCTGCACTTTCCGAGGCAGCTACATTGAGAGATGCAATAGGAACTACTGCAGTTTCTCTGATCTACTTCTGAACAAATGAACAATAACTGTTACTGCACGGTGCCTTCTCAGAACACTATGGCAGCCTGGCAAATGCAGGTAAGTCAGCCAGAGAATAGCGCCTCAGTTCAAAGCCTTAAACATCTAAAGTCAAATTTCGTCCTATCTGATAGCCTGCAACTTTTCCGCGATTTGACCTTTGGTGTCGCCGTGACCTTTGCAAAATTACGCTGCGCCAAAAAACATGTGGGAGTATAAGCAGGATTTGCATAAACAGGATTGGGGACATCTTAAAAGTATTCTTTACTTCTGGGGTATGTCTAGCTCTAGGCTGGAATTTAATACCTGAACTTTTCAGATATAATTCGTCTTTGCCTGCATATACAGAGGATAGCCTGTGACAAGAATTTGACTCGTCTGAGAGTTGAATTTTGCCCTAACGGTTCCAATATCTGTGCCTTTGCAACCTTCACTGCTTGTGATGTCGATGCACCGAATACGCTGAGATAATAACTTAAAATCTACGCTCATACATGTAAGAAAAAACAGGATACGCCAACGAAAGATGGAACTAACTTTTTCTACTACCCTTAGTAGGTGCTTTTAGTCACGAAAAGTACCAGAATTAAGTTGAAAGTTCCATGTATTTTCAGTACTGCTGTTTCTTCATACAAGTAACAATACAATGAATTCTGTTACTCGTACTTCAAGAAAAAGCTACTGATTAAAAGGGTTCCTGAAAAGATAGAATAAGAGACAGAAATAGAAGTATTGAAAAAGCGAACTGATTAAAAATAAGGAATAATTTCAATCAATCAATTAATTAATCAATTCCACTGTCCAATCTTTACAAACAGAACAACTTTTCTGACGACAGGTACTAAACCGTCTATATACTGCAAACCTTTCATTGACATCATACCGACTTTGAAACGTTCTTTGTTCTGTACAAACGTCAAATCGGAACCAAGAGTGATGAACAGGACGAATGGACAAGATTATTCAGATTTGAAAATTAGTTTGCAACCGCTGGGATGTCAGCCTCTCTTATGTTTTCATGACAGATATTATCCGTTGCAATTTCCTTTCATGGATTCTGTACTTTCAGCGCTCGCTACTGTTAAGACGCCGTCAATCAGAAGTAGCTACTACAGTAAGTACAATATCGCTTGTCAAACAAGTTCTCTTATGGGAAACCACCTACAGAAGCAGTCGCAAAGATGACCAACAATAAATGTAGAAAGACATCACTGATGCCGACCTACAGACGCTTAGAAGTATCTCCTTTCCTGGAAGCAGTACAACAAGCATAAAATCATATCATTCCACTTGTCGTCTGCGAACTTCGTAAGTTTAGGCATAGCAGTCATTGACGCAGTGCCTAAACTGCCGACACATACACAGTACAGCGAGTCGCAATGTTTCATTCTCTTATAGGGGAGCTCAGCCAAGAGCAAATCTCAAAATACTTCTGACGCCCGACAGCTAGCCGCTCGTAGAGCCCACCACTGACATGCGTTTAAAGTATGTTTGTACGGTTAAAGTCAATTTTGTGTTCAAATAAGAAGGCATTCCAAATAAAAAATTCGTATGCACTGTATGCTTTCAAAAATGTCCTTCATTTCCAGTACAAAACTATTTAAACAACTTAAGAACTTATCTGCCTCAGTAACGATTTATGAGCCTTAATTCAACTCCACTGTCTATATCTTAGAGAAACTTCTCAGGAAGTTACATCATACTTCAAGTTTTTGATTCTGGGATTATACTTACATAGATAAGTGTTTGAACGATTCATGGTTCAGAGCACCAAACACAAAGGAACAAAATTTTTTGTAATTAGCCTAGCCGACGATGCTACGGTCAATGTAGGCAAAAGCGTCGGCAACCAATTGCTGTACCATCTGTTGTATTTATTGCCCTGAACCATGAATCGTTCAAACACCTATCTATCTGAGATTACATTATGTCATCGTATTTTAGCAAAATGCAAAAGAAAGCTATGAAAGTTCTGCATGCTGCACACGTGTGACGAAAGAGCGAAAACAGATCACCTTACATTCGTTTCAATTTTAGTGTCTATACTATTGTTTTTGCCTATTTTCAATCCATCTGAGAGACCGAATTTCCATTCAAGTGCGAGAAAAAGAGGTTCTTGTTTTTTTTTCAGACGTTTCAGTTCTCGGCCAGTCGTATACGAGACTCTTCGAGCATGTTCGAACCTGATTTTAAATTTTACGTAAAGCAACGGCATTTCCAACATTAGAAAAATATGTTACAACTTCAGTGTCTAATGCAAATTTTATATAGAACAGGCATTATCGAGGGATGTAATTTCCCAGAAATAAAAACACCGCACAATAATGAATGCATGTGCAGTTTCAAAAAGACCTCTACATAAAGAACTTCGTCTAACGCCCTAGCGGTCAAAATTTATTTCCTTCAGTTTTGTTTTACAGAAATTTTGTAAAATAATAAGTAAACATGGTCGGTCGTGGAAACTTAAAAGTGATATGTTTTTGCCCTTGCATTCCATCCCAACAGACATTTCCGTTACTTCACGCCCGCTGCAATTCCGGAAACCACACAGGTGTAAGATAGATATTCCTTATCGTTGGGCGATCATCTGCAGCTTGTGAAAGCCTTGACAGATACCTTAAGGTTAAAAAAACACAGCTGCAGAACTCCTTAACACGATCATTATGCAAATACGGCTGATGGACGGAATCAGACTCAAAAATTGTTTTTAAGGAATATTAACTTTTCCAAACTGAAAGTGTCGTTCACACATACCTGCAACATTTTTGTTGCTTCTTCAGCGCGCTGTAACAGTACGACTTTTTGCCTAAGATTTCGCATATATATTTCTGAAAGAAGCTGCGCTCGATTAATCGCAACGTCGTAACAAGACTGAAAATGCAACATTATTAAACTGCTGTCGAGTGAATTTTTTTATACTGTCACGACGAGTTCATTAGTTGTCTTGTCATAGTCAACCAGTATGTTCGGGATAAATTTCACAAAACCCTGATGGGCGTCTTGTCGCAGCGAACTAAACAAATTCATTCATACAACCGTACGGCAGCGGGTTAGCGCCCGCAATGTACTATTCTTGCATGTCCTCTGGAA